GCTCAAACAATCTATCATCTCTATCGTAATAGAGATGATAGATTGTTTGAGCATTGACCATGATTTTATTTGTAAAAAAAAGGAAAGTAATGCAACCTTACAAAAATGGGAGAGTGGCTCAAGCTTGGGAGATAAAGCAGGTCTAATTACGTTTACAATGTGCTTTTAGACTTTGTCTGAGAATAAGAGAGTTGTTATTTGTCAATATAGGAATGCCAACAATATTGCAATATTTTTTTGCAGTAACTAAATGAGTTTTGTTGGATTACAAAAATTGTGGGTTTTGTTGGCTAACAAAAATTGTCAGGGTTAGGGTTAGGGATTTTGTTGGCTAAGAAAAATTGTGGAAAAAGTCCAGAATTTAAATCCATAAGCCACTGCATGCCTGAGACTTTTACAGAAGAGAGATCAGATTGAATATCGGCTGCTTGTTCTAAGCTATTAAAAAGTGAAGATTTTTTGTCAAGACCATATTATAAAGTAGAGTCGTCAGCTAATAGAGCCACTTAAGATTTCATAAAGTTTTATTATGTTATTGTAGATAAGAATTAAAATAGGAGCCAAGTTAAAACCTTGTGGTACCCTTGGTAACGTTTCTTGAAATAAAGAAGAGTGTAGGACTTTAATAATAACTTTAATACTGCAGTTAAAAAGAGATAATTTGATAACCTCAAAAACTTTATACAAAGAAACTAATAACAGAGTGAAGACTAATCCTAGTATTGTTGGAGAGGTCAAAGTGTTTTCTAGACTTTTGAAAAAAGTGGAACCACTTATTTAGCACCTTTTAAAAATTTAGCAAATATTGAAGAGAGTTCTGGAGAACACTTTTATAAGACTATGATGGAAATCTTGTCTGGAGCACAAACTGTAAAGGTTTTTAATTGAGAATTAATTTTAGCATTGAAAATAAAAGTGATTTCGATGTTTAACAATGGGTTAATCTGTTTAACTGTCAGGAAGAGTATGGCCATTATATTCAAGAGTCAAATTAGAGATTTCTTTGCAAAGAACTCTGCTTTATTCTGGGGAGAAATAAAATGATCAGAGAATTAATGATTAAATGTTAGACTTGCTTTAGTTTATGACACTGTTGAAGACTAACCACAAGTCTCTTAAACCTAATATGTGAAGTCAGACACAAGATATAGTAAACTGAGAATAAAATAGCTTAACATGAAACAGGACTTTTTTACATTGGGTTCTTGCAATAATAAGAGGAATTTGTTCTTAAGAGAGATGTTCTTGTAAAAAAGATGAAAAAAATAATAATATTGAAATGATAAATAAAAAATGTGGGGTAGAATGAGGTTTGACTTAAAATTAAAGAAAAGGAATAAAAGCTTCTAAACTTTTATTACAGGCGGAATAAAAGATTTCAAATGTATAAATATTATGGATATAAACATATATGTTTGCTATTTATTTAGATGCTGGCATACAATATAAATTTTTGTATTTATATGGTGTAGTATTTGCCGAAAGAGAAGATGATCAGATGGATGTGTGGAATGACTCTAGCAAGACAAGAAAAGGAGGCATAATTTTAGACAGATTAGAAATAATGTTGTAAAAATAACATTTATTAGAAAAGATTAAAGTAATTTGAGTATCAACATCTAGAGAAGTAGCAGCTTCAGTAGAAAATGTTAGTGGTAGAACTAAGAAAACTTGAAAAGAGTGCCTTACATATTGTATGAATGAGCTTTAGCTAAGAAAAAAAATTCAATAGATTTTTTATATTAGAGAAGAAGCATAAATAAGAAAGGCTAAATCCTGATGATGGTGATGATAATGATCATTGTTATCATTATCTGATGATGGCAATGATGATCATGTTGATCACGATGATGTTTACATATTCATATCTATACAAAATATATAACATGAATTTTGAATTAAGATATACTTTAGGACATATAAATGTTTATACAGCCCCATTCAAATATCAACCCAGTTCACTTATTATTTTCAAATACAATGTGTTTCTTTATTCATCAATAACACCAGCTTAAATGTCAATTAAGTCACCTGTGCTTTTATACTTGTATATACATTTGGACAGTTTAAGAAAGTTCTGAGCGTTTCTTGAAAGTTCTAGAATATTCACTGGCCTTCTGGAAAATTCTATTTATTCAAAAATATTCTCAAAGAAGCAAAGTATGCATTGAGAACTCTTTTGCAAACACTCAAATTTTAAAATATCATTGTCCTGGTCACAGAAGCAAATTAATCTATCCCTGCAAAGGTTAGTTGATGTATGTGGACTCCTCTGCATCATTAAAAAAATTAGATTATGAGATGATAATTTATTTTATTGATTTATGCATATGTTAATAAATTCATTATCTGATTTTTCAATTTTTTAATTTTATTTTCTGATTTTACTTTTTTGTTTTATTTTATGTCATTATTTTATATTAGGTAATTCAGCTTTTGAAACAGCTCAACATTTACAAGGTGCCACAAATCTTATTCATTTAGTATCACGCAACCGTGTTCGATTTTCTTGGGAAACACACTATGTTGGTGATGTAAGGTACATGTTTGCTTAAGTTTTTCCAGACAGATGTATCTTTTTGTTTTTAATTCCAAAATGGTATTATTCATACGTATCTATTATAACAAGCCTTTTCATTTTAAATCTAAAAGTCGAATCTGAAGTTTTTGTTACTTATATTGATACAATATTATTTAAAAAAAAGCAATGGTTAAAAATAATTATTTTTTTATTTGTTTCAATTTTCAAGCAGAATTTTATTTATTTTTACTTTATGTTATTTCATATCAAAAGTAATAATATATTATATCAATAAAATCATAGTTATAAGAAAGATTGTAAGCGAACATAAGCGCATTGTTTTAACTCTTTCATAATGTTTTTTCTCATTAACGTACTTTCGAACCTGCATAGAAAGATGTTGTTGTTAGGGTTTGCCTGTTATTTTGCTAAAGAAATTTTGTGTTTTGATTGGTGAAAATTATGCAATACATTGTTGGTCAGCTTTAAGAAGACACAATGAGCACAATATTTTTTTTATCAGAAACAGCTGGATCTACAAAACTTTATTTAATATGCCACCAGAATCGTCTTATTTAACTGTTGCCAGAAGCAACTCAAACTACAAAAATTTGTTTTATAAAGAATATATTTTTTGATTGTACAAAATAAAATTTTTCATCTTTTTAACTTAATTTTATTGACAAAAACGGATTTAACTTCTACATTTTTTTAAGTTTCTTTGTACCAAGTGTTTGTACTTGACTAAAAACTTGACTTGACCTGAAAGTAAAATAAGCATCAATAATTTGTAAAAAAATGTTTATACATTGTTTTAAGTTGGTTTCTATTTAACTTTCATTCTATTGAACTAGTTGTTCAGTCATTTTATAAATAGCAGTTGTTTAAAAAAATTTTCATATTGACAATAAAAAATTTATGCAGTTTCAAATCCCATTATATTTAAGCGTTATGTCTTTTATATTCATAACAAGAAGCCTGGAGAACAGTATCCTTCAGTCAGACAACTTTATTGCACAATGTCAAGACCTGTTATTATAGAAAGTCATGGATTGATAATAATTTGATTTTATGCAAAAACTGTTTTTTACTTTTTTAAGATGGTTAAGTAACCAAATTAAAATTATATTTTTTTTACATTTATTAGTATATAATCAATGATGCCCAGATTTCAATATCTTTTTTTTTTCTTCTTTAAACTATTAAAAACGTGTATATAGCAAAGCATTTGTTGTTAATGAAAATTATGGAGGTGAGATTATAATTTTTTTTTTTTAAAGGGCTGTAAATGATAATGCCATTGATACATATCAACTCAAGTCTTTGGATGGACAACTGGGTATATTCTTAATATATTAATATGTTTATTATAAGTTTTAAAACTCAGGTTATAAAAACTTTAAAAGATGCTAAAAACTATAAAAAATAGATTATAATTTATATTACATAATAATATACATAATATGTAAAACATTTAACTTAAAACAATATTTGTGAAAAATACATGCTGTAACTTCATAAATCATTTTATATCAAATAATACTTTTATAAACAAAGTATTTTAGATTTTACTGCATAAAAAATGACTTTTTAACTAAAAATTAAAAAGTGTGTACAAAATATTTTATTTATAACTTTTTTTTTTCAGTTTGTTAAGTTAGCCTAATTTGTTCAACATTCAGAAAGTTTAATTTGTTTTTAATAGAAAACATATTTTTTTAATTGAGTTTTTATTAAAAAAAAGCTATATTTTTTATAAAATAATAAAAAATAAGTTTTATATAACATTTATTTCTTAAAATTAATTTTACAAAAAAAAATTTTGATTAGATATATATATATTTTTAACTAAAGTTGGTCAATATTATAACCAATTCATATAGGAAAATTATTAAAAAGAAAAATACATCAATCTAATACTCAATATTAAAATGCAAAACCAGAATCAACACTTATTGTTACATTGTCATGTCACTTATTGTTTCAAATCATGGAAATCTGCTGTGCTTTTTTTACATTTTTTACATTGAATCATAGAAATCTGCTGTGCTTTTTTTACATTTAAGCATTTTTTGCTGTTTACTTGGTATGCTTGCATCATCTACCTAATCTATTTTACGTTTTGTAGCTTTTTTTTCATTTTTCATTGATTGCAAGCAAGTTCAAGCAAGTTGCTTGAACTTGCTCCATTGTTTCAGCTTCAATTTCAAAGCTTCTCCTTTGATTCTTACATTATTACTTTGATTCTTATATTATTTTCTTTCAAGATTTGTGTAATCAATTTGTTGCAGAAATATTTTTATTGCATATTCTATGCCATTCTTAATTGAAATGTGTGTTTTGTTATTATATTCAACTAAAATATTTGACATTGGTGTTGAAGAAATTGAATGAATGCTATGCAGTCGATTCCATAGCATTCATTCAATTGTCTTACATAGTTAATGTTAATTGTGATGTAAACTGTTGTGCTGGAACTTTAAATGTTTCTGTTGTTTTCATTTTTGATAATTTTAGGTTTGTTAAACTGAAATCAATCTAAATAATGTTATCAAATTCTGTTTTTTTAAACGCATTGACTAATTGTGTTCTGGTGAAGCCATTTTCATATAAAACTTTTAATAACATTTTTGCATTTTGATGATTCATAATATGATTTTAATATATTTTTCCAGGTAAGCTTAACGTGACAATATATTCCAAGGTCTATTGGCTACAAAATATGACTTGAATGAGCTGGTATGCAGACCATTAATTCTTGAAATATTTTTCAATCATATTGGAAGTGCAAGATGAGGTTCTGTTTGATGCAATGCTATCTACTCTGCGTAATGCTACTTCATGTTTACATCTCTCTTTAAAATCATACCACCACTGTATTATTATTGTTTGCCATTTTTCAGTAAATGCTCTTGTTTTTTGTTTTTAAAATAATGTCGAACAATAGTAATTATATCACCTTGCGATAAACCATAACCCAATCGCTAAAATATTGAATTAAATGAATCAATAATTTTTCAGTTTCAATTGATAAAACTGTTGGCTTTCCAATTTCCATGTTGACCTCAGTTTCTTATTTTTGTTTCTGTCAATCAAGGTTGATTTTTAATACATTGAACTTAAATGCACACTTTTTAAATAATATTCCTTGCTCTTAATGATGTTTTAAAGCATTTTGTTTGCCAGATAAAGATGTTTTTTTATTTTTTATATGAGTTTGCAGGATATAAGAATAATATTAACATATTAAAAGAGAGAATTAGTGTTCTTTTTTTTAGAAATAGAAGGGTATTTAAAGAGGAAGTAATTTTGTAAATCATTGTTTTATTAATTAGTGACCAAAGTATTAAGGAAATAAACATTTATTTGTCACTTCTTGCCACAGTTAATCACTTATTACTTATTGACCAACTTAAGTAGAGTGTTACCTTTTTTAGTTTTTATCCAATAATTTCTATTACATTTAAATATTACCATTAGATTCAAAATAAATAATTCTATTAAACCATAATTTTAAAAATTTTCATGGTTTTTTCATGTAATACATATTTTGGGGTATTAGCAATCAACAAGTTATCAGCTGTAATAATCGTGGTACTGAACTCTGTTGGTGCAAAGATGATCTGTTTAAAAGGTCTCAAACCATTTGCTTTTAAAGCACAATTTCTAAAACAGGAAGTTGTGTTTAGTGTACCTTAAGAGTCAATATTGGACCCTTTACTACTTATTATTTACTTTAATGACATTGTATCTTGTTTGAAACACTCAAAATCTGATAATTTATGCTGATACTGTTATAAACATTCCTGAAAAAAATATAAATGTTATAGAATCACGTCTTATATCTGAGTTAAAAGAAATCTCAAAATTGTGTTCGAAAAATAAGTTGGTTTTTAACCTTGGAGTAAAACACATTTTTCAGTTTACAATTTTATCCTTGTTAACATACTGCGCAAATCTTTGCAAATCCAAAACTGATATGCTAGACTCTTTGCTCAGCACGGGGTTCACTCACCTGTAAGTTGCTTTACGTATGTTTTTGTTCTGTTTAAAATCTCTGATTCAGTGTGAGCTCAGGAACCAACTTGTGACTTCAACTATAAAACCTACGCTCACCTTAATCTTTAATATTTTGTTAGATGTAATAGATCTATTTCAAAATTCTCCAAACTTCCTTGCGATTTGTGAAACTAATTTAAATTTGATTGTTTCTTTTTCAGATCTTAGTGTTTATTGGTACTTTCCTTTAATTCAAAAAGAATCTAACAGTCACATGCTTGACTAAAGGGCTAACATATGCAACAATTCACCTGTCATGAAATCAGGTTTGATTCTTTTGACCATTCTTTTATGTGCTTCCTCTTAGCACCTCTCATTGTTCTTTATTTTTCTTCTTTTTCTCAATAATGCACTCTTTTAGATGTAATTTCTGATCAATTTTACCATATATTTTCTCTTCCCTCTGCCAATATTGTTGTTATATGAGACTAAATGGCTTATCTCTAACACCAGTGACTCTGCTGGCACTAAAGCCTATAACTTCTGCATTTCTTCTCAATTTCTTACTAAGATAGTTAACTTTGTGACTGGTTTTCTAGACAACCATATTCATTTACCTTCACTCCTTGATTTGTGTTTTGTCTCTGACCCTAGCTTGTGTTCAGTCTCTTCTTTTTCTCCACTAGGTGGTTTTGACCATGCAATGATTTCCATATATAGTTAGTCACATACTTCTTCTTTGAACTCACCCTATTATTGCATTACTTACTTCTACCCTAAAGCTGACTTGGTTTCCTTCCATGATCTTCTTCATAACAGGTTTTGGGCTGTTGTGTTTTCTCTCTCTCTCTCTCTGCTGATAAATGTGCCTCCTACCTAGCCTCCTGGGTCAATGTATGAATGTAAGCTTTTACTCCTTCTTGTCTGTTCCAAGTCAAGCCTCAGTCTACTCTATGGTTTTCACCTTTTTGTGCTGTTGCTATATATAATTGTAATCATTTTTTTCATCTTTTTCAAAAAAAAAAAAAAAAACTCTCTTGTAAACAAAACTTACTTTAGCTTTAGCTTTAAAGAAAATTTTCAACATTGTCATTAACAAAAGTAGGTCTAACATTTCATCACCCCTCTCATTCATTTTATCACCCCTAACCCTAACCCTGACATTTCTCATTCATAAGACTGATCTTATTACCTCACCCAAGGATAAGGCAGAACTATTTGCAAAGAACTTTTCTTCTTATTGGACTATTGAACATTACAACTATTTTCTTTCTTTCATTCCAATTAAACAGGTTAAACAATTGTTAGACACTTAAATCACTCCAGCATATGTTTCTAAAGTTATATCTCAAGTAAACTATTCTATGGCTTGTGGTTCAGACATTCCTGTCATAGTCTTGAAAACTCTCAGTTTTATCTAAACTATTTAACAAGTGCTTGACTGAGACTTGTTTTTCTGCATGCTGTAAAATGGCATCTATTGTTCTAATTTTTAAAAACTCTGGTGAACATTCTTCTCCAAATATTCGATCAGTCTTCTATCTGTTATTAGCTGGGTCTTTTTGTCTTTGACAAACAAATTTCTAACACCCCATCCCATAGGGTTTTCAATCTTCTTGCTCTATGACTGATTTGCTAACTGCTGTGACTGAAAGATTTTATCTTGCATTAGATAGAGGCAGCGAGGCAATGGCTCTTAATATATCTAAAACTTTCAATAAAGTTTGAAGTGTTCAGCAAAAGCATCAAGAAGCCTTCTAAGTAAAGTTTCAAATATCTTACTTGGTTATATTATTAGAAGTTCTTTTTTATTACTCTGGTGCTACAGTGTATAATGATCTACTTTTTTGAACTTAGGAATTTTAGTTTCTGAATTTTAAAATTAGTAGAAAATTTTTACAACTTGTTTAAAATTTATTTTAAATAGTTATTTTTATATCATTTTTTAATGACTCTATTACTTCAATTGATTTAAATTTTTATTATTAAAACAGGACATACATTTATAACAGAAATACATTGATAACGGAAATACATTGATAACAGCTTTATTACTTCAATTGATTTAAATTTTTATTATTAAAACAGGACATTGATAACAGAATTGTAATAATTTTTGAAGTAATTCATCATGTATCATCATAATTTATCAAATAATAAGAAAAAATGGTTCATAACAAAACCAGACAACTTGCCTGATTTATAATTTGGTTTTAAATTTTGTTTAAAGTTATAAAACCTTAATTTAATTATTTTTGACATTTTTGAAATCACTCTAGAAACAGTGCAATAATTTTTTCTAATGTTTTGTTATAAAATGTCACATATTATGTGTTCAAGATATGTCTGTTACTTTATTTAGGTTAAGATTTTAAGATAATCATTTTGATTTTTTTATATTATGTTAATTTTGATTTATTTATTTATCCATTTAAGTTAATCATTTAGGATTATAGTTTGTTTATTTAAAAATAATAAAATAAAAATAAACATAAATTTAGAGGCTGATATGTCTTCATGGCAGCTTAAAAAAGAAAATTCAAAAATTCACATTATGTTTCAGTCAAGCAATATCAGTGATTTTGTTATTCGTAAGTTATTAACTATTCTTTTTGTGTTATTTTTTTAACATATTTTAAAATAATTTAAATGCAGTTCAATGTAGATAAAACTAATAACAATGTTGAAAAATAAATGATATAAAAGGTGTATATATATTACTGATTCTTGTTAATATATTCTTAAATTTTACATTTTTTTTTTCTCATGTTTTTGTGGAATAAAATATAAAATAAAATACATTAAATATAAATTTCATAAATGAAAGGGAATAAGTTTCACGATTTGCATTCAGTTTGTAATAAATATTTTTTGTTAAAACACAAAAAGTTAATTGTTAAAAGTTGTAACATTACACGGATTGTTAAAAGTCGGATTAACAACATTATTTGTTAAAATTTGTAAACAACAACATTGATTGTTAAAGGTTGCTGCAATCACATTGGTTGTTAAAAGTTGTAGCAACAAAATTTATTAAATTTTTTTAATTTATGTTTTTATGCAATATAAAAATTTTCTTTCATTAAGAGAAAATAAATTTCATAGTTTGCTTTTTATTTGTAATAAACTTGAATTGTTACAGCTAAAAAAATTATTTGTTAAAAGTTGTAGCAACATAACATTGGTTGTCAAAGGTTGTAGCAACAACATTGGTTTTAAAAAGTTGTTGCAAAATGAAGTAGCATTAGTCAATTTTTTGAAATGAATTTAATTTTTTCATAAGGTAGTAAAAACCTGTTATAATCTCAATTTTCAAAATGAGTTTTTGTCTTTTATTCAAAAGTTATAAAATGTGATAAATTTTATTTATCTGGACTATTTTGTGATTAGTCATGAAAAGTAATAATATCCAGTTTTATAAAAAAAAACAGAAACCATCGTTTATTTTATATATATTCATTATATATGTTTTTAATAACATTTACAAACTTGTTTTTAATAACATGTGACAGTACAAAATTTATTAAATTATTTGTTCAGTCAGATTTATTAGCAAAATTGTCAAGTCAGATTGTCATGTCAGATTTATTAGCAAAAATGAAGGGAAACTTTAAAATGATTTTATTAATGTAAAAAATCATTAGAATTCTTTACTAAAATGCAAAAGCAAAATAAAAAAATGTTCAACAGCATTGATTATTACTAATATCATTCAAGAACACTAAGCATTCAGTAGTTTTATCTCTATTTGCTATCTAAAGATTAGCAACTGAACTTTTTCTTTAAATGCTATTATTTTATGTGTAGTTTACTCATTAATTTTTTTTTTTTTTTTTTTTTGCATTAAAAGTACATATTAGATATCATATTAAAATAAATACCTGTAAAAATTTGCAAGCAATATAAACAGTGTTGGTTGTTCCTTATGGTAAATGGTATATGTACTATCATTATTAAAATGGTATAAGTACTATCATTATTGTTTAACTATTTTTAACATTAAACAATAATTAAATTGAAATTAAAAAACAAAAGATTTCTTAAACTTTTGAAATAATTTATGCTTAAAAAAGAACTTTTCTTCATACTTTATATATTAATTTGTGCTGCCTGTGATAGTATACCCAATTCATTGGGTTATGCTACTTTTGCAATGATTAGTTTTGATAAGTGATTAGTAGTAAAAAATATTTAGAGAAGATATAAAGTACAGGACTCAGCAAGAGTGTTGTTATTCGTCAAGAAAATATTAACATAATATGTTATAATAATAGTTGCATGTAAACAACTGAGTTTTAAATGGATTCAAACTTACCAAACACTGTGAGTCTTAAAAGAGAAACAATTTTCAAATATTCAAAAGGGACATTTTGAGGAAAGATTCGTGAATCTGTTCTATGCAATCAAAAAGTGAAAACTTTTTATTATAGATAGAGTATATAGTTTGTATCATTGGCCACATAAAAGTATATAGTTTGTATCATTGGCCACATAAAAGTATTGATTAAGATTCAGAGAAATTAAGATTGTCTGTAAAGCTATTACCATCTATAAGAAACAACATGGTACCAAGGATGGATTCTTGAGGTACCCTTTAGGTTACTGGAAATAATAAAAATATTTGTTCATTAAGGATAGATTTAATACTGCAATAAAAAAAAGTATGATGCAATAATAATAACTTTCCAGTACACTCTATACAAGGAGAGATCTTATTTATTACAGGCTAGAAAAAAAGATTCATATAAGCTTCATCAATTTGATCAGAAACATCATTGTAATGAGTTTGTAGATTCAAATTCATACAAGAAGCTTCTTTTGTGGCTCCAAAAATACACACCAAAAAAACTATAATTGTTATTATTTATGCTAAATAGAATGGTAGTATTTAATTATTTTATTTAATTATTCTGTCGATTGTCATCAGATCAGTGGTCAGTCTTTCTAAGACTTACTACAATAATTTAGAAACCTTACTGCCAGCCAATGTTAGAACCAGCTAATGTTAAAACCATTTATCTGAACTTTAAAGATGTTGTAAAAAGAAAATAGAAAGAGTTGCATTACTATTCTCATAGAGGTTCAAGAAAACCCAATGAGTTGAATCAATCCAGCAATTATCATCCTAGGTAGAAACTAATGTTACATTAGTTTACATCTTCCTTTCTCTATAAAAAAGAAGTGTAATGTTAGTCAACAGAAATTTTCTGCTAACCCATAAAAGTAGGAGGCTTTCTAAATGAGAGTAGCTTGAGGTCTTCTAGATGTGAGTTGTCCTAGATCATTTGAGTTGTCATTTGTTGATCAGTTGATCGGAGTTGTCATTTTTTTATTCTAGTTTTTACTTAATCAAGAGCCACAAAGCATTTCAATTAAAAGTTAACTCTTATTGTATTAATTTAAAATCTCTTTGTCATTGTCTAAAAATACTCATCCTACCATGCACCAGGAAATATGGCGGATTGCAAATTGTTACCAGTTATCAGTAGCAGGGTAATAATGATTATTGTCTTGACCTGATTTTTCCTGATATATCAGGAGCTGTATAAGATCTCATAAACAATATTTAAAATTTATTAAATTTAAAATAAACAATAAAAATAGGTATTTAAAATTGTATTAAATTGCTTGACAACAGTAACAACTCATTGTTAAAAATGTAAGATTTGTTAGTTAAAAATAATTTGAATGGTTTGTTGAAAATGTAAGATTTATTTCTTAAAAATGATTTGATTGGTTTGTTAAGTTTGTAAAATTTGTTTGTTATAAATAATTTGATTGGTTTGTTAAAAATGTAAGATTTGTTTCTTAAAAATAATTTGATTGGTTTGATACATTTGTAGGATTTATTTGTTAAAAATGATTTGATTCTATTGATTTTAACTGGTTGATTTTATTTAATTTATAATTATTTTATTTAGCTGGAGATTTAGCAACACGACAAACTTATGATACAGTCATTAGATGCACTGGCTTTAAAGTATATTTTTTATTTTTTTACTTTTTATGTGAATAAATATTAGGCTGGTTCTTAAAACATCATTTTGTTTATTTACTTTTTATATTATTGAATACTAGGCTGGTTCTTAAAACAACGATTGTTATTTGACTTTGCATATTAATAGTTATTAAAATTATACTGGCTCTTAAAACTTTGTTATTACTTATTACATTAATAAGTACTAGCTGCTTAGACCGGTAAAGTACAGGTTATGGTAAATCTATTTGGTACCAACCATTTCTATACTTATTCCTTACTTCAATATTTATTAGGAAGCGGTAGAAAAATAGTTATATATATATATATATATATATATATATATATATATATATATATATATATATATATATAAATATATATAAGCATTAAAACATCATATACAGTATCATACTATTTATTTATTTTCTCTATAAGTGATATTTCGGCTCATATAGTAAGAGCCATTATCAAACTAATAAAACTGTTAAAAAAAATCTGTTTAAAAAATTATAATAAACGTAAACAAATGATGTCATTGCAACGTCAGATTTCAACATTTTTAAATTTTACAAAAAATGGTTTCCAATGGTGAGTCATCACCAAATTGCCGTTGTTGTGATTTAAAACATTTTCTTTAGGTTTTGAACATTGTATACGTTGTATTTCAATAGCCACACGTTGTATTTCAATAGCCTCACTTTTTCTGGTGTAGTTGTTTGAAATAATAAAAAGCGTTTTAGGGTTCTCCCAGTGAGTGTTCTACTATTCCTGATGTTTCCCAGTTGGCTTTTGTAACATTACTTTTATGTTCTTGAATTCGTGTGGAAATCTTTTTTCTTGTTTCACCAATATAATATGCACCACATGTGCAATTAAGTTGGTACACTCCTGGATGACTATTCGGAGGCAGTTTAGACTTGTTACAGCAAAGTATGTTGATTACCAAAACGGAAGACTGTTTTAACACCAACTTTACGAAATTCTCTTCTAAGAAAAAGGCCTAACTTTGGGACCCATGGTAAAATAACTAGATTTTTGGTATCGAATTTTTGAGAACAAGATCGATTTGTGGAGTATTTATAATTTTTAGCAATATCTGAATACTATTTATAGGAATGTCCATTTTCAGTAAAAATCTTAATAAGAAAATTAATTTTATCCTAAATGTTATGTTTTGAACAAATTTTGTATGCTTGAGCTAAAAAACCTATTAAAATACCAACATCGATATTTGGTGAAATAGATGATTTCGGTTTTATAAGTACGTTTGTAATTGCATTTTTACAGTGTATGGAAAACTCACATTTGTGAAGAGAGTGATTGGTTGAAATACAAACATCTAAAAAATTTAATTGGTGTTGAGCATTTTCCTATTCGCATGTATATTGAATGGATTTATCTTGTGAATTTTAAAGTGTTAAAAAAGAATTTGCGTCATCAATATTAGTAAATTGAGCATGGCTATCATCAACATACCGTTTATAAGTTTTTGGTGCAATATTTACGTTTAGAGCTTGTTGAATAGCATTAAATTCAATATGTTGTAGACATGCTTCTGACAAGACAACCATTATGGATAGACCTATTGGACCAAAGTTTTTTAAAATATATATTTTGTCTTCCCATAAAAAATAACACTTACTAATTAGTTTATGAATATCTACTAAAGATAAATTCATTTGTTGTATGTTTAGCATATCAATAATTGTAATAGTTGCTTTATCTATATACCTAATATCTATATTTACAATTATTGATATCAGGTATAAAAGAATTAGTTACAATTTCTGTATATTAACAATTTTTTTGGCTACATTAAAAATTTAATAGTTTTTTACAATAGTTACCATAGTTACATAAAATAAATAATTTCCACGAAATTTTACATAAGATTATACAAAAGGTGTGAAATAATTAATAACAAAAAAAATAGGAATTAAAAAGATAATTGAGAAGTTATATTGTTATAGTAATAGTATATGAATTTAATTGTGTATTAAGAAGAGGTATATATATACATATATATATATATATATATATATATATATATATATATATATATATATATATATATATATATATATATATATATATATATATATATATATATATATTTAATTATCTTTGCTTCCAACAAGGCTGCAAGCAACCACTAGTTGAAGAAGATTGTAGAGCAAGATAACGATTGACAGATGACTTAAAAGATTGCAAATTATATGAATCAGGAAAGCAAGATGAAGGAAGCGAATTCCAAAGAACTGATGTTCGAGGAAAAAAACTAAACAAATAAGAGTTTTTGGAGCACTTAGGAACAGTAACAGAAAAAGGATGAGACTTAATTGAATGACGAGTAACACGAGAATGAATTTTAGTAGATGGTACAAGAGACACTAGCTCTTTAGAGCAGTGCCCATTATAGTATTTGTAGAAAAAAGAAAGAGAAGCAACATTACGACGTTGTGACAGAGGTTGAAGGTTGGCTGCAAGAGCAGGTCCAACTATGTTTACAATGTGTTTTTGCACCTTGTCTAAAAGAGAAAGGGCATCATTAGAAGATTCACCCCAGATATGGCAACAGTATTCCATACAAGGCCGGATTTTAGATTTATAGAGATAGAGAATAGAAATAGAGTAAGAATGTGACAAGCTCGATAAAGAGAAGCGACTTTAGCAGATGCTAATTTTGCAATGGATTTGATATAAGGTTTCCAAGAAAGATCAGAAGTAAGAGTTAATCCTAGAAGATGAAGGGTAGGAGACTCATCGAGTACATTACCGTTCATAAATAAAGGAAGGTCTAAATTATTGCGATAGTGATTGGCTGAAAAAAATTGAGTTTTATCTGAATTAAAGTTCACCAGCCACTGTGAGCCCCATGCTGTAGCAGAAGTGAGATCCTTTTCAAGCTCAGACGCCCCCTGCAAGCAATCAGAGGGAGTTTGCTTCTTATCATGACAAGAATAAATGGTAGTATCATCAGCGAACAATGCCACCTTAGATGTGAGAATATCTGGAAGATCTTTAATGTAAATTAAAAAGAGTATAGGGCCAAGGATTGAATCTTGAGGAACCCCTGAGGTTACAGAATAAGAAGAAGAGTGCTGTCCATCAAGGACAACTTTTATACTAAGATTGGAAAGGAAGGATTCAATAATCTTAAAGATGTTTCCAGATACACCATAAGAAGAAAGCTTATGGAGAAGAACAGCATGCCAAACTTTATTAAGCGTTTTAGAAATGTCAAGAGCAATGGCCTTAACCTCTCCACCTTTATCTAATGCACGATAAAACCTATCGGTTATTACTGATAGCAAATCAGCCGTAGAACAAGTATTTCGAAATCCATATTGATGATCAGAAAGTAGGTTATGAGATTCGAGATAAGAAATTAAGTGTTTGTTAATTAAAGATTCAAAAACCTTGCTAATGATATGAAGAAGACTAATGGGACGGTAGTTAGACGAATCGGATCGCTATCTAGAATTTTTAAAAATAGGGATAACAGATGCTGCTTTCCAGCAGGCTGGAAAACAAGACTCTGATAAGCATTTGTTAAATAGTTTCGAAAGGATAGACGACAGCTCCGGAGAACACTTCTGCAAGACTATAACAGGTATGTTGTCCGGGCCGCAAGCTGTAGAAGAGTCTAAGCAGGAAATCACTTTAGATACAGAAGCTTGAGTGATACGGATTTCGAGCAGTGGATCAACCTGTTTGACGGCTATATAAGATAGAATGCAACTAATGGAGTCAAGAGATGATATTGATGAAAAGTGGCAAACAATTCAGCTTTGTCTTTAGGTGAGGTGAAAAAGTCTGAACCATACAAAAGAGGTGGAATTACAGACTTGCCTTTATTATTGATACTATTAAAGATTCTCCAGAAGTCACGAGAGCCTAGTTTTTGTGATGAAATACAAGATTTCATGATTTGAGAATAGCGGGCTTTGGCGTTAGACAAAACCTTTTTACAATGGTTCCCAGCAGTAATAAACAGACGTCTATTTTCTGGAGAACTGTTTTGCTGATAGATATGGAAGTAATGGTTTCGATTGGCAATTGCAGCAGCACAATGCGAGGAAAACCATGGAGAAGAGTGAGGTTTGACCTGGAACTGTCGAGAGGGAATAAAGGATTCCATGCCAGCCTGAATCCACGAAGTTATGTAAGAAGCACATTTGTCAACAGGAAGACAAAAGATTTCTCTCCAGGGGCCATCACGAAGAAAATCACGGAAAGAGTCCCAGTCAGCTTTAAGGTAGTTGTAAGATGTACAATGATAGGGGGATTCTGATGGTAAAGAAGAATGAGATAATAGTTTTAGAAAGACCAAACCATGATCAGAAGCACCTAAGGGTGAGTGTGGAGAAACTGAGCACTGACTAGGATTAGAAACAAGACATAAGTCGAGTAGAGAAGGTAAATGATTCAGGTTGTCTGGAAAGCGAGTTAAAAAGTTGACTATTTGAGTTAGGGATTGAGAAAGATAAAAGTTGTGGGCCTTAATGCCCACAACGTTTGTCTTTCTGGAGTCACTGACACTAGAGCCAAGCCATTCAGTGTGATGAACATTAAATTCACCAACAACAACAATATTGGCTGATGGATAAAAAATGAGGGTCAATATAATCAGAAATAACATCAAGAAGAGTGCAGTCTTGAGATGAAGGAGAGCGATATAGAACAAAGAGAAAGGTGATAGAGTGAATTGGTGCTAAACAAAAGCACATAAAAGAGTAGTCTGTGGATTCAGACCTAGTTTTCTGACAAATGGGTGAATTCTTACGAATGTAAATGCCTAGGCCAAGCATGTGAATATTGGAGTCTTTAGGAATTAAAGGAGGATAACCATTAACACTAAGATCACAAGATGAGACAGCTGAACTCAAATTAGTTTCACAAAGAGCAAGTAGGTCTGGTGAACTTTGCAAGAAATAAGACTCAACAGAAGAAAAGTTACTTCGAAGACCACGAATATTGGTGAATGATAGGTTTAGTGA